ATTTCTTATAATTACTGAATACATAAATAATCATTATATTTAAAAACTCACTTATATAAATGAAATTATGATTAATATGTATAATTCTATTTATATAACACTTGAATATATATAATAACAGTATATTTACTAAATGACCAAATACACGAGTTTCAATCATTTTTAGTACAACATAATAAGAAAGACAAGATTAACCGAGTTTGTTCAAACAAGCATAAGACAACTAAAAGGTATTACAGTAGCAATTGGGGTTATGGATTTCAGTTTATGGGGGGGTAGTATGGGACCCGTAGTCGGGGAGAAAAATTACCCGTTTGATTGAATATGCGAGTTGGGATCATAAAAGTTAGTTGAAAATTTGTGAAATTGGATTTTACCGACAGTGCAGCTCCTGTACTTTGACAATGTATAACTTACAAACTGTAAGTCGGAATAAGCTCGTATCTTGCAACCACTTTCATGAAGGGTCGAAAGTCAGTTATGACTCTAAGTGGCTCGAAACAAAGGTTGTTTGCATTGTATTCGAGATTAATTTGTTGTTTTGTAAAATTCGTATAAAATATATGGATAATCAAAATGAGGTGGGTAGGTTCATATATCAAATGTAATATTGATTCTTATTTAATTAGCTAACTTCAATAATTTTTAAAAAAATATCGTTATCGTGCAACGTGCGATGTCAAACACTAGTTTGTTAATATTTGAGGTTAACTCTTTAGATTTTAACGCTACTTTGTTTATATTTGAAGCTCTCAATTGGATATGTTAAATCATTAAATGAACCGAAAATGCACCAATAACAATTAGTTTCTAATTTTTTCAGAGAACAAATACATCTGATTATAACAATCGAAGCCCATGCATACACATTCATTATTCAAGTAAATAAGAAAAAACCCAAATGAAACCATCATGTAGAGATTAAGATCTGAACCCGATATGATACCCATAATAACATATCGATCAGTCTTTTTTAAATAATCGCATGTTCTCCAAACACTGATAAGTCTTGAAGATAAAACGGTGTAGTTCTGGGAACAAGAACTTGATGAAGAAGAGGGCCTTCGTGAACCTTGGTTCTGTAATGGAGGTTGCTCCTTTGCATACTCCCTCCACTATTTTTTTGGCGCATATCTCCGCCCCCATTACCGGGAATACATCTTTGAAATCCTGCCCAAAGTTATTGGATCCATGATCCGTGTTTAGTTATTAGGGTTGATCCATATGTTTAAAACTAAAAGTATGAATTAATACTTACTTCTCTTAGATGAACACCAACCCCCTTGGTTGAGTACTTGGCTGTTATGAGGTTTGTTTGTATGAACCCTAGTGTCAAGATTGTTATCGATACTGTCGGAGAGACTTCGAATCTGAGGGACTCATAGAAGCCGATCAATGCTGCTTTACTTGCCTGCAAGAAAATGATCAATCCACAAGATCGATCGACGAATGCCCGATTATCGTAAAGTATATATAATTATAACATTAAATAAGAAAAACAAATGAAACAAAAAAGATTAGGTTTGAATCGGGTTCGATTCATTACAGCGTAGAAGCCGCCTTGTGGTATATGCAATATACCGCACGATGAGGCATTGACGATTATCTTCCCATGGGTTTTCTGGAGGTGTGGAATCGCAAAATGAGTTGGATATATCGATCCCCAAAAGTTTATGTCCTGCACGTATAATATAATATATATATTCATAATCATACGTAAATCCATTGAAGTTGTGTTTGTTCGTAGCGATAGTACCGTTTTTCAGGATCATACCATAACAGGTGCAAATTTGGTGACATCAATGTTTACCGAATAAAGGGGTGCGATTCCTGCATTCGCTACCAGATGATCCACTGCAAATAGATAGAGTAGCATATTGATTCGTAAAGTTAGTGTGGGTGAAACAAGTTGGTTAATTTGGAGATTACGGGTTACCCACAACGACCAAAATGTCGAATGGTGTCATCCACAAACATCCTACACTCGTCGACCTTTGACACGTCTGCAAACATGACAAGAACATCAGGAGAGCCGAGCGCACGAGCTTTATCTGCCACTTCCTCGAGTCGACTCTCTGGTTTCTTTGTGGCTATTATCGCTAGACATGCACCTCTTTTCGCGTATTCATACGCCATGAGCTGCCATTTTAAGCAAATTATAGATGTATATTGGTTTAGGAATTTAGAGTTTAGGGTTTACTATACTAACCTCTCCAAGTCCAGATGAAGCACCGGTGATCAAAACGACCTTTTGGGACATGTTCTCGGTACATCGGAAAGATGATCGGAGGGTGTTGACGATGAGGTCCCAAATGAGAAGGAATGGTGAAAGGAGGAACAAAAGTAAGATGCAAAGGTAGTAGACAAGTGCATTTGTGAAGTTGTTATTGAAGCAGGCTTCGAACATGGCTGCACAAACAAGATGGAAGTGTTGGATTTATTTTGTATTATACTAGATCATTGGATATATATATACATATATATATATATATATTGCATTTTATTGGGAAGAAAATTTGTACTATCCAAAATTTAGGTTTCTTCCTTGTACATGATTACGTATCATTAATTAGTGAGCAAAAATAGATCTAATTTAAGGAGTAAACTATAAATTTGGTACTTCTGGTTTGATGGAGATAATATTTTTCATATATTCAGTTTTGAAAATATAAAACGACAATCATGGTTTGTAAAAATATCAGGATTTTGGTCCCTACCATTAACGATCGTTAAAAACTCGATTAAATGCGAGGCATTTTGGAATTTTTCCACTATTTAGTCATTTTTGTTTAAAAAATAAACGTTATATTAATTATATATACATACCAATTTCCTCGATCCCCCCATGAAATCACCGGCCCCTACACCGCCGATGAACACCAATTTATCCCTCCCCCTACCCTCGTTGCCCACCACCAACCACATG